TGGCAGGGGGGGCAGTTAGGGGTGACCAGGCCAGCAGAGGGGGGCAGTTGGGGGTAACCAGGCTGGCAGGGGGGGCAGTAAGGGGCGACCAGGCTGGCGAGGAGGCCAGTTAGGGGCGACCAGGTTGGCAGGCAGAGGCAGTTAGGGGTGATCAGGCAGGCAGACAGGTGAGCAGTTAGGAGCCAGTGGTCCTGGATTGTAAGAGGGATGTCCAACTGCCGGTTTAGGCCCAATCTTGGGAATTGGCAGTCGGACATCCCCCGAGGGTCCCGGATTAGAGAAGGTGCAGGCTGGGCTGAGAGGCCCCCCCCCCCCCGCACGAATTTCGTGCACCAGGCCTCTAGTTTTAAATAAATGGTGATAATCTGTAATCAGATTTTGAAAAAACCCATATGCACAGCTAAATTTATCCCCCTGACATTTTACACATTCGTTTCAGGTTACACTGAGTGATGAGAAAAGTATCACTAGAAACAATCAATTACTTTATCTACACATATATAATGCCACATAAACAAAGCTTAAAAAATAAATTTGGTAAAATCTGGAAAACAGAATTGGGATTCTGGGTTCGTTACCTATTACTTTTAACAGGACATTACGTTTTTATTTCAACTTTCCTGGTAGAGTACCGCAACAGAACAGACAAACAAAAAGCCCAGACACTTCAACAAAGCAATCAAATAAATGGAAAATCTTAGTAGAATGGAGTAGTTACCTTAAGTTTACACAATTACCGAGCTCTGGTGGAATTTGTAGGAGGTCATTATTTTGAAGGTCCAATGTGACCAGATTCTCCATTATCTTCAATTTTTCAGGGTTCACAGATCCAACCTGATTGTTACTAATTAAAATTGTTTCAAGTGTGGAGATGCGATACAGAACTTCAGGTAGTATTTTGAACCTATTTAAAGATGAACAGCACACCTAAACATATTGGAATCAGAGGCAAAATCATTCCTTCAAACAACGATCTTAAGTTTCATATCTTGAGATAAAGTTTTCTTTAGTGTAAGTTATTTTATATTTAGTTCAAGTCCTATGTTCAAATTTACAAGAAGATAAAGAAAATGAACTAATTTTGGAAACCTTGAAATGTATGTTAAGTGGAGATTTGGAACAGTTTATTTTATTGTATAAAATCAAATGAAAGTTTATAGTAAATTCTCCAATATTTTCCTCTTCACATTCAGGAGACAAGGAAATCATCCTGAGATTCTTTATATAAAATGTCTCTGTGTAGGTATTCTTCCTTAGTTCACTTTTATTATGAAACAGAATCACTGCCAATATTAAGTAAAAATTCAAGGTTCCTATTTTGCTTTGACTGAAGTTTCAAAAATGAGTGCATTTTTGGTTCTTGAAAAGATGACAAACTAGCATAGGCTGTCAGCTTCCTCTTCCAAAGCAAGGCTAAAGATTCCACAAGAGAGATAAGAAAACTAATGGCTCTCTGAACAATTAATACAAAATCCTCGAGTGTCTCTTGGGGGACAGAGGCTAGGATAGTGTGAGGCAAACTGCATCTCATAAAATGGACTAGAAAAGATAAGGATGGGCTGTAGAACTTTACAGCTGTGGCCTTTCACTTCCCTATATAAAAAAATGCAATAGTAAAGGGTAAACTCAAGGCAGCTCTGTATTTCCAGAGGGACTGGGAGTCAATACCTAGGAGTACAGACCAACCAAACTGCCTCCAAGTAGTCCCTCCTCTTCTTTCCCACCAACCCATGAAAAGGCATGGCTCACATGCAAAAAGACAAGTTGTACCCTTACCTCTCATCATATACAAAAATTAACTCTAAATGGATTAAAGACCTAAATGTAAGGGCTAAGACTATAAAACTCTGAAGAAAACAGGGATTAAGTCTTCATGACCTTAGATTTGACAATGGATTCTTAGATATAACACCAAAAGCACAAACAACAAAAGGTAAATAAACAACTTCACCAAAATTAAAACCTTTTGTGCTTCAAAGGACACCATCAGGAAAATGAAAAAATAACCCACAAAATGGAAGAAAATATTGTAAGTCATATATCCAATAAGGGATTTGTATCTAAAATATATAAAGAACACTTACAACTCAATAATCAAAAGACTACCCAACTGACAATTGGAGAAAAAATCTGAATAGGCAGGTCTCTAAAGAATATATACAAACTAGAGGCCCGGTGCACGAATTCGTGCACCAGTGGGGTCCCTTGGCCTGGCCTGTGGGATCAGGCCGAAACCGGCTCTCTGACATCCCCAGAGGGGTCCCGAATTGTGAGAGGGCACAGGCCAGGCTGAGGGACCCCACTGGTGCATGATCAGGAGGTTAGCCAGCCGGGTAGGAACCGCGGGAGGGTGCCAGGGTGTATCTGGCCTGTCTCGCTCAGTCCCGATCGGCTGGACCCCAGCAGCAAGCTAACCTACCAGTCGGAGCATCTGCTGGTCAGTGCACGTCATAACGACTGGTCGACTGGTCGACTGTCTGCCCCCTAGTGGTCAGTGCACAGCATAGCGAGCAGTTGAGCGGCCTTAGCATATCATTAGCATATTACGCTTTGACTGGTTAAACAGATGACTGGAAAAACGGACATTTAGCATATTAGGCTTTTATTATATAGAATGATCAATAAGGACATGAAAAGATGCTTAGCATCATTAGAAATCATAGGAATGTAAATCAAAACTTCAAAATACCACTTTAGCCCAGCCAGTGTAGCTCAGTGGTTGAACATTGACCAGAAGGTCACGGTCCAATTCTGGGTCTGGGCACATGCCCGGATTTCAGGATCGATCCCCAGTGGGGGGTGTGTAGGAGGCAGCTGATCAAGATTCTCTCTCATCATTGATGCTTCTATCTCTCTGTCCCTTTCCCTTCCTCTCTGAAATCAATAAAAATATATTTTTTTAAAAGTCAAATAATATTAGATGGCTAAAATTAAAAAATCAAATAACAAGAATTGGTAAGGGTGGGAAGAAACAGTAGTATAACTTACCCATGAGAAAGCAAAAATAATGGAGCAGACAGAACAAAAATTTAAATAGGCAGCATTTTAACATCACTACGTCACTGAGGAATAATAATAGTATAAAACTTATATACTTACTAGAGGCCCAGTGCACAAATTCGTGCATGAGTGGGGTCTGGCCGGCCCACCCCAATAGGGGCCAATCAGGCCAGGCCAGCTGGGGGGAAGGGAGGGAATGCAGGAGGTTGGCAGGCTGGACCCGCCCCTGACCGGGATAGTGGGGCCGATTAGGGGCGGGGCCAGCCAGGGGGAGGTGCCGCAGATGGTTGGCCAGCTGGTCCCGCCCCCTGGCCGAACTCCCAGTGGAAGGGACAATTTGCATATTAGCCTTTTATTATATAGGATTATCATCAGGATTGAATGAATATATTTGAAGACGTTCAGATAGTAGCTGAAATATAGTACACTAGTAGCCCGGTGCTCGAAATTTGTGCACATTAAAAGGGAATTAATTGCCCTAACCGGTTTGGCTCAGTGGATAGAGCATCGGCCTGCGGACTCAAGGGTCCCAGGTTCGATTCTGGTCAAGGGCATGTACCTTGGTTGTGGGCACATCCCCAGTGGGGAGTGTGCAGGAGGCAGCTGATCGATGTTTCTCTCTCATCGATGTTTCTAACTCTCTATCCCTCCCCCTTCCTCTCTGTAAAAAAATCAATAAAATATATTTTTTTAAAAAGGGGAATTAACTAGCAGAGATATTTTAATATTGCTATTTTCCCTTTCTCTATAATAGAAGTGTGAGAGATGAAAGGAAATTAGTAAAATGTATATGAAAGTAATATATAAATTTATTAATAAACAGTAACAAAAGGATACAACAAC